TACTATATTAACACACACTCAATGCGGCGTCAGTTGACGTGGATAGGAACGATTGACGTTATGATCGCTGCGATGCGTACACAGAGACACCCCCGTGCCCACTCACCTCTGCCAACGGCTTGCGTGCGATCACGTGCTGCACCAAAGTTCGGTACACCGCCCGTTCCTTCGGTCCGTTCGCATCGACGGGTTTTCCGCTGAGATAGGCCTTTAATTGGGACTCGAACTTGAAGCCAAATGTGGTGTTAGCGTGTACGTATTTGACCAGATTGTCGCGTTCGTCCTCGTTATCCTGTCCGTATCTGTATAAGCGTTAACCACGGGTAGTTAGACTACGCTTAGTTCGACCTTATTGTCATTCGGCGTGTACTTTGCCCGCGAGATAAGGACATATACGCAGTAATAGGAACACATACACGGCTACACACCTCCAATACACACACAAGGCCACTGCACACATATACATACACGCCGCAACGCCAACAGACTTTGACTAGCCTGTGCAACCATGCCGCGTGCGGAGGTGTGGGAGGAACACCTAGTCAGCTGCCAATCATCGCACATTTCTCATCAGAGTGGAGTGGTGGTCCCTGAGACAGACACATCGATTGCCAGGTTGTGATATGGGCACCTTGCTGTGAATGCGCACCGTGTGCGTAGAATGCATGTGAACACCAGACATCACCTCAGACACCACACAACCCAATGCATATAAACACCAGACATCACCTCAGACACCGCACAACACAATGCATATAAACACCAGACATCACCTCAGAAACCACACAACCCAATGCATATAAACACCGGACATCACCTCAGACACCACACAACCCAATGCATATAAACACCAGACATCACCTCAGACACCACACAACCCAATGCATATAAACACCGGACATCACCTCAGACACCACACAACCCCCGTGTGCCCAACGGACAAGATCACACGCCTGGAGAAGCTGCAAAGACTGTTGCAGTGGTTTGAGGTGACAGCCACGCATAGCAGTCGGCTACTAGGCACCGCAATACGTACGCGACTGAAGAAAACGGCCTACCAATAAATGAACGTATATATTATGACCCCAACCCCCTCTGACAGGACAGGACAGGACAGGACAGGACACTCTTGTCCACATCATGTACTACTTGATTAACCCCACAGACAGGGCATACAAAGGTCAGCCAAGAAACGTTGAGTGTGTGTCTTACCCGGCTAACAGGCATTCGTAGATGATCTTCCAGTGCATCTCCTGGACGTCTTCTGTCATGACCGTTTGCCGCGACAAGAACTCCAGCGTGTCCCCACGCTGAGGGGCAGGCAGACGAGGTTGTGGTTAAATAGATGACCAACCCATGGATAGCAGACTAACAGGCGCATATGCTCATGGGTACTTATCTACTTATAACTGCAACCACGCTGAGATACAGGCAGAAGAGGTTGTGGTTAAATAGATGACCAAAGCATGGATATCAGACAAACAGGCGCATATGCTCATGGGTACTTATCTACTTATAACTGCAACCACGCTGAGATACAGGCAGAAGAAGTTGTGGTTAAATAGATGACCAACACATGGATAGCAAACTAACAGGCGCATATGCTCATGGGTACTTATCTACTTATAACTGCAACCACGCTGAGATACAGGCAGAAGAGGTTGTGGTCAAATAGATGACCAACGCGTGGATAGCAGACTAACAGGCGCATATGCTCATGGGTACTTATCTACGAACTGTCAAATAGTATTCTCCTCTGGACAGTGTCATTTAAACTTTTACACCATCAAGCATCTATCTACACCATCACGCATCTACCTACAACATCACGCATCTACCTATACCATCAAGCACCTACCTACGCCAACATGCACCTACTTACACCATCAAGCATCTACCTACACCATCAAACACCTACCTACACCATCAAGCATCTACCTACACCATCAAGCATCTACCTACACCATCAAGCACCTACCTACACCATCAAGCACCTACCTACACCATCTAGCATCTACCGACACCATCAAGCATCTACCTACACCATCTAGCATCTACCGACACCATCAAGCATCTACCTACACCATCAAGCACCTACCTACACCATCAAGCACCTACCTAGATTATCAAGCACCTACCTACACCATCAAGCATCTACCTACACCATCAAGCATCTACCTACACCATCAAGCACCTACCTACACCATCAAGCACCTACCTACACCATCTAGCATCTACCGACACCATCAAGCATCTACCTACACCATCAAGCATCTACCTACACCATCAAGCACCTACCTACACCATCAAGCACCTACCTACACTGCTACCCACAGTCGCCACAGCTGCCTACACACCCACCCACGCAAAACAAAACACACTCCTGCATGTGACTTCGACCTTATTTTTGTCTATGTTTCCAGCTGCCGGAAACAGCCACCAACCCACAAATTTCCTGCCCATGACAATACATATACCTTCCTGTTTATCTACATAGTTCTATCTGAGAAGTAAATAGTGCACCCACCACTTAGCCCGTGCCTATGACTATACACAAATATCTTCCACTGAATCCACATAGACCTATCTATGATTATACCTAGTACACCTACCCATATAAATATCTTACACTGAATCCACATAGACCTATCTATGATTATACCTAGTACACCTACCCACTTAGCTTATGCCTATGACTATACATAAACATCTTTATCTGAATCCACATATGATTATACCTAGTATACCTACCCACTTAGCTCATGCCTTTGACTATACCTAAATATCTTCCTCTGAAACCACATACATCTATCTATCAGCATATCTAGTACACCATCTTCCTCTCTCGTACAATCTCTTCAGCCTATATAGCTGTCTACGTCTGACTGTTGGCAAACCGGCCCCAGCCGCCCATCCATAGCACAGCCTCACCCTACAAATGTGTCTACCTGTTAAATCTACTTACTCATGAATCTTCTTAACTCAGTGTTGTATTCTTTGTACTGCTTCTCTAGGAACCTGCAAATGTGTCTACCTACACTACAAATGTGTCTACGCACAGATATGTCTACCTACAATTATGTCTACCTATGATATCTACCTACCCACCAGTTTCCTTACCTCAGTGTTGTACTCCTTGTACTGCTTTTCCAGGAACCTCATGCCCACGCTCACTTCGTAGTTCACTGCGCCATTCTGCATCTTGCTCTGCTCCAGCGACTCCAAGAATTTCCAGCAGATCTCCAGCATTTTGTTGTTCCCTGTGTGCGTTTGAGAGGAAGGTTGCTATGGTGAAGGTTGCTATGGTGAATGAGAACATGCATCGCAGGGTACTGCAATGAAGGAGGGCTACTACTTGATACGAAGGCTACTATAATTACTACTTGATAGGAAGGCTACTATGATTACTACTTGATACGAAGGCTACTATAATGCATGAGGGCATATCTGGTCAGAAGGTGGTAAGGGTTGTGAAGTACTTGCGGCACGGCGGGCCTAGCACCACCATCCAGTCTCTCTTGTGTAGTTGTTTTAATCTCTGCCCTTTGGTTAGGAGTGGTGGTGGACAATGCGGGGAGGGTCGGCGCTGGGATTCGATACTGTATAAACCCCATAAAACTCTAAACGAACCCCTGTTTAAATACCAAACTAATACGCTTATTAAGTCTTCGCATACCAATACGCTCAGCCTATCACAGGCACAACTTCAACACCAAAGCCCGTGTACCGAATTGCTACAATCTCGACAATGCAGGTACATTTGATTGCATGGCGTACAAGTAAACCAAAGTTCAACCACAAAGCCTTAGCACGACAAGTACCATCACCAGGCCGTACCGCGCTGTTCAAACATTGTTTTGTACAAGTTGAACTAAGTTTGACCACAAAGCCTT